AATCCTACCTCACCATGGCCACTAATGCCGTCCCCTAGTCCTAGCTCAGAATGTCTGCGATGACGATTGCACCTCATTTTTCGTTTTGAAGAAGCCGAATATGTAACGATCTACAGAGGAAATACCTAGAAACCCGGTATAAGGATATGCAGACGGGGTATCATTGCTGTGACTGTCAATAGCGTCAAGTATGAAACAATACATATTCTCGCCCCTTTCCACGACGCCTTTTACTTAAGCGAAATTAGAAGAGGATCCTCCTATAGGGCCACAAAACTAAAGTCGCAAAGGATTTGAAAAGGCCAAAAGCTTGTAAGCAACTTCCATCTTTTGTCACCTGCAGCTTAGACTCGCAAACTAAGCGTCCGCCCAGTTTACGACATTACTTATTGTAGATCAGCCTATTGACCTCTAGATCATTACAAAAATAGTGGATGACAACGAGGAATATGAGAAGAAGTAAAGGCAAAGTCGAAAAATGAAGTAAGAAACATCAAAATGTAGTCAATGGCTCATGTTTTGCAAAATGAGGCATGTGAGATGCAGTTACACTGCAACCTGTCCATTTCACGCGAATATATAGTCTTGCGGAAGTTCCGACATGAGGTGCAGTTACACTACGTCCCATTTATTTTACGCTAATGCATAGCCGTGCGGAAGTCCTAATAAGTTAAAATTACAGGAACTTCCGGTTGCGAACGGTACTTCCCCGGAAATTCCCGTGGAAGCTTCGGTTGGCCATTTTTGTGACGTCCTTTTTTTCCGAAAGTTCCGAAAATCGAGATTCTCTCAAGTTTTAGCGCTATTTCGCGATTTTCGAAAAGTTCCGGTGTTCTGCTTTGCACGGAGGAAGTTCCGTTAGATTGTCTGAGCAGTTCATGCTGATTTTTGTAAACATATTTGAGAGTAAAGCAAACAGTAAACACGGAGGCTTTGATGTGGCGGCAGCCGCAAATATATGTGTCAAGAAATATGGAATTCATTGAATTTGTTAGTGTTTTCCAGATCTGCAAAGATTCCTGAGCGCAAGAATTTAGCTCTGCGTCGGTAAGTAATGCCTCCTAATTTGCAGATGTTCTTGTGCTTATAATTTCAATATCATTAATTAGAATATTACCCAGCGGAGGCAGGAGGCAGAAAGAAGAATCACCCTTGTCGAGACTAGCGAGATTGTAAAAATATTTTATGAAAAGATTAACGTGATGAAATAAACTAATATTACTTTTTCTTCAAAGTGTCATCAAAATTCATATTTCTCTCCGTGAAAGTTTGATACATGGAGTGGTTCAAGAAATTAGCTAATCATTAAATAACTGTGCGTAGAACTGGCTTATGTGGCATGGACAGGTACGAGGATGTAGTGATGGAGGTTATTCAATCCAACATCTTCTTATGATATTCAAAATGAATGAGTAATTGGGAATACATCATTGCTTGCTTGAGCTATTTTTGAAGTCTTCGATTTTTCAAGTGCTCTAGAAGTAAGTTAAGAAATTCCCTAGTGTTGCTAGTTTCCGTGTAATTAGAAGGCTTGTCACTTTTTTCTTAGCATAATCCAGATCGTTTAGCTGTTCAAGCTACAGGTCATTCCTTTCATGGATACGTCTGTGTAGCAAAGCACACTGTTTATTTTCATTACATTTCTAGTATGCGGGTCTTCTCACGAGATACAGCAGGCATGACAGTCTTTTAAAATATAAGACTTGACTAAGAATCTTGTACTTTCAGATAAATAAACTGTTACGCTTGACAATCTCATTACAGGAAGAGTACTTACTCATAAAGAGTACATCTGATTTCCATTCATATCATGTCCGAATAGCCGTGAAAACGCATATCATATTAATTTTACTCAGTACGGCTTTACTGTAGGGTTACGATAAATGTACAATCGGTGGTAAAAATTATGGAATTTTTGGAAGGTGGTGTAGAGTGGACATATATGCTGAATAAATGACGTATCTGTGCTGCACCGTAGCGCCTTATTGTAAAATGCGTAGATATACCTTATGAAATCAGGCTATGGGTTCACATAAATCTGCCCAAAAAGAGTTTAATACGTTGTTTAGAACCGCACCAGCTTTTAGGTCTCAAACGTTAAACGCTACCATGTAGTTCAGTCAAAATCTACAGAAACATGCCTCTCGGTAAGGAAAGGGTCGTAGATTTCTCCAC